TCATTGCATCCAGATATTAAATAATTTTATATAACCTTTCCATTTTCTAAACTGCAATAGTGGCATATCCGTTCCCACTATCAGCTATTTTTTTTATTGATTTTTCTAAGATTTCTGACTAAGAATTTCCAATTGGTCTTTTTAGAGTACGTTTCTTATTTTTCTTCTTTAGAGTATAACCTTCATCGAGGACCATCGCTGTACTGCAGTATTTTCCAATTATCTTTGTTCCCTGTCAATTTTACATGGTCGACAATTCCAAGCATTTCAAATTCCTTATCAAATATGTCTTTCCATCAATTCATTCGCCTTCCTATTGGTCTCTCAGAATATAACTATTATATCAGTGTTCAAATACCTACTTACTTAACAATTTCCCGAATGAAACTTTTTAGATGGTTTTTTTGTCCTGCAAAATAATGTTTCTACACCACAGAAAATAACTAAAAAAAAAAAAAAAATACGATTCAACATTTATTTTGTTCCATCGATCCATTTTAAATCTAGAAAACAAATTTTTTTTTTATAATGATAAAGTACTGACAGTGTTAAAAATTATAACATTAGATTAATAAGTTTTTACATTTTTTTTTTCTGAACAGAACAAAGACGCCACTTATTACAATAATTTCGTACCTTTAATGTATTTATTATTATTACTTTTTTTTTTTTTTGTAACGTATTGTGTCACCTATGTGTGTGTACAACCAATCTATCCATTTCCATAGTAAATAGAATAATGTATAATGATTTTATCAATGGTGTTGCCCTTTAGGCCTTATAACACTGGTTTGCGCTCCTGGGTCGCCCATGTTGTAGACTGAGAAGGCAATTTAAATTACCTGAACGCTGGGTACATGGGCAGGTACCGTTTAGTACGGCGAGTGTACGTCGAGTCCGTGTACTGCAGTAGCACATGAATAATACAAAGAATTATAATAATCCAATTATTTATATTTATACTTATTAACATTTATTAACTAATATTAACAAGAAAAAATTAAATTGATATTATCGGCTACGTGTATACTCGTGAAAAAAGACAAAAAGATAAAACATCGCTCATTCACGACAATTGTTCCCATTTATAAATAGTGGCGCCAACAAACGAAATTTGATTTAAGTACAATTCATAAATAAACAAATATATACAAAATAATATTGACGAATACAATAAGTAATGTATCTACTGAAATAATGTCATAACAATTTTTATATTTTTCGTAATAAACAACTTGGCATTCGTATTAAATTTAATACAAATTTTATCACCAAAAACAAAAAAAACAAAATTTTATATTACATAAAATTGGTAAATTAAGTTTTATTCCTAACTTAGATTGTTATTAATATTTGAATTTCATTGTACTCATATACAGTTAAATAGGTACATTATATTATTCAAAATAATTGCATACAATTTTTTTATACGCATCGCAAAAATACATTTTAATGACTTTTAACGAGTTTGTCGTCGACGAACGCGCGGAGTTATAGATCACGGTCAACGAGTGCAATAATTTTAAACGAAACGTATTGTGCACGACGTGCGTTCATTAATAAAGATTTTAAAATAATATATAATTGCAGTATGCAATTAGTCTATGTTATTAGCGGGAATACACGTCGTGCATCGTTTGCTTTTCGTGTACAGATGTGTAATTGCGTTTGTAAACACTCTGAATATAGCAATATTGTTTGACCTACATTTTGCATGGATAATAATAATATTCATAATTCATAATCATTTGCTGTGTCCCCGAACGTTTTAATTTTTTTGAAACCAAAATATTATTATCTACTCATAGGATCCATTCACCCAATGCAGTTAAACGGACTCTTCAAATGTTTATTATATGTAAAAAATCATTAGCAAATTAAACTAGCAAAAAATAAATAAAAAACAAAAATCATTAGATTGGTTATAAAAAAAAAAAATTGGACCACTCAGAAATGTATTCTCAGTTACAGCCAATGGTAATTTAACTTAGATTTGAAATTCCATTAAATGAAAAGAGCTCAAATCATAGTAAAACCAAGACATTTCTTACTTCGTTCAGAATCTAAAATTAATTTTACAAGCGACCTTTTTATCGAATTTCGGATAATTGGAGAATCCGTATAATTGGTGATGAGGTTATTATTTATTTGATGTTTTTAGCGGTTTCCATAATAATTGAGAAAAAAACGTAGAAGAAAAACGTATAAATTTACGGTGTAGTCGATTTAATTATTTTAAATTTGTATGATTTTTGTTTTCTACCAGAAATCTTAGTCTAAATTTTAAGAGATACGTATTTTCGAAAAACAACTCTGTCTTGTTTGTATGTAAGAAAATCATTTCCGAAAAATCGGGGGAAACGGGAAAATGTACGGAATTAACAGTTTCAGTATTTTCGATTCTGTATTTTTTTTGTAAACTGGTTAATAATAACAATAGAGAGATTTATAGATCCAATAGATATAATAGAGACTTATATAAACCTTTTTTAAATGTACATTTTTGAACTATTTATCTGATATTTGACATATTTAAATTTGTTAGCTTTTATTTTGGTAGGTATTAAGTTGATAAAATAGTAAAGTCATAAAAGACGTATGAAAAAATTTAGTACAAAGTTTATTATTTGTGGTATTTAAAATATTTTGAGCAGTATTTAATGCAGTAAGTTTTCTTTATAAGCGCGTATGTTAAAATTTTGATAAAAATCATAATAGTTTTAGAATTTCAAATAACATTTAATTTAACTTTACTCAGAATCGTTTTTCGTTATCAATGACTTTTTTTCAGAAACATGTTTTTTATCTACCTGGTAAAAGACTTAACTAATTGCGTTGACAGTATAAGATTTATCGACCAGTTTTACTTTATGTCAAATAAATTTCAAGATTCCGGACAGTTTCTTTACAATTTATAAAAATAACAACAAATGTCGGATAAATGTTCTTTTATTCTTGTTGATATCCGGGCCACCTTGTTTACTAAGCTCAAAAACACAATTAATACTACTAATATTACATCTCTCAGAATTGCTTTTCCGTTTGTAAAAATGTATCGTTGTATAGAGTAAAATATACACCAAATTACCCTAAATATTCTACCTTCCAACTACTCACTTACAACAGTGACTTACCTGTGGGCTGTGAGCAATATCAAAGTTTTAATAACATTTTATGCCAATTATTTTTATCTCGTCTGTTAGATGTTTTATAATACAAGATACATAATTATGTTATCGAAATCAATGTTTTAACCAATCAAAACATTATATAATTATTTTTAACTAATTGCGTTGGTGTAAAAAGTATATATTTTATTTTTTAAATTAAAAAACAATATATAAATAAGAACGTTCAGAAATAAGAAAAACAATTACACAGTTGGATAGCTTAAAATATTTTCTCGTATAAATCTTTATTTTTGCTTTTTGTTTATTTGACAGAATAAAATGAAAAAAAAACTATAGTATTTTTAGTATTATACTTGAATTCCTTAAAATAAATTTAGAAAACTCTTTCGTTCCCCTATAATTCATTACTTCCAGTAGACCGACATTTTTACACTTTAACTTATTTATTAAGTAATCTATTTGTTGTTAACCGTACTTATAGGAACATATTGTAATAGAATACAGACTAGAGAAATTAAAATAAATAAGTTGGGGAATTGAGCTGATATAATTAATATGATGTGTTATAATACAATATCATGTGTATATAACGTAACCAGCGTCAAATTTCTATGGAAACAGAGGCTGATAGTAGCCAAAATGACACTATAAAATAGAGTTGCTCGCGATCGCATATTGAGACAAATAGTTGTTTATAATATATTATGGAAGATGCTAAGTATACTGGATGTCCAATTAATTCAGTTTCTAGTATTATTTACGTCATGCTCAGAGGCATTCACGTCTATTTATAAAAAACACATTACTACAATAAAATCGGTATAATGTTCTCCAAGTTTCAACGAATATTTTTAACTAAGTTACATTTTTTAAAAAAAACGGACATACTTGGATGCAGTCACTGTTGTAGGTGGAAAGTTGCAAAGGTAAGAAACGGATGAAAATGTAAGCAACGATAAACCATTTCTAACGAAAAAACGATTTTGAGCAGAATTCAGTTGATAATAATATTGCTTTATCAACAATTCATATTATATTATGGTAAAATTATTACAACAATGAGTATATCCACGACAACAATGATTGTTTAAAAAATATTTAAAATAATAAAAAATTTAATAATATCCAAAACTAAAATAAAAACGATTGCTAATTGTAACTTTACTTTAGATTCTGAGTGGAATGAGGAATGCATTGGTTTTACAATGATGTTTTTTTTTTTTTTTTTTGTTTTTGTTTTTTATGTAAACTCTTTTTCTACCAAGGAGCATACTCCAATTATCAAATATAGCACCTTTTCTGAAAGGAAATGTAATACGTTAATATTTAATATGTATAAAATAAACGAGCAAAGTGATATAGTAGGTACAATTATCAGTTCCATCGCAAAAAATATCAGTGTTGCCATATACGTATGCCATAAATTATTTCATAATTAATTAAGTGTATTGTTCACACACTGGCGCCCTCCTAAGCCCCCGCGGTGATCATATGGGTGCCACCAGGGTGGGACTGCGCGTATTTCATAAGACACGATTCGCGTAAATCTTTTTCGTCGAATCTTCAATTCTCTGGATTTGCTCAGCGGAAGGATCCATTTTTTGCTTACTCAAAACTTAAAATCCTTACCACCTATTTTTTGCCAGACCGGTAGTTGCAGATACCATAAGTGGGCTGCTGTATTTGGTTAATTCACATATCTTTAAACCTGGTAGTTGTACACATTGTCACTTTATTTTCTATCGTATATTTAAACGTGTTTACTCATTTCTTTCACATAATAAAATAACACATTATAAACATTAAACATGTATACAATATATTACGCCTGACTGTCTTGAGCACAGACCTAACATATCGCAGTACGTTGGTCGTCATTCAGGATAAACAATTGTCTGGAAGTTTTTCAATACAAAATACACGCAGTGCATTAAGCTTGACTGTCTTGAGCACAGACCTAACATACCGCGGTCTATGGTCGTCACTCAAGATAAACGGCTGTCTGTACATTTTGTATTATAGTAAGCATTTTAAAGCATAATGGCTATACAATAATACGTCGGCTAGCGATTCGTTACACTAAACGGATGATTCTCTCACAAGTCGTCACTTATTAACAACCTGACGTCTGAGTACAGCCATCTAAATATCTATTTATATAGTTGACCTAGCGACAAAACAATTAGAAAATCTACTTGTGTTTATTGTAGCAATTCATCGCTACCTACGCATCCTTATACCTGCTTCTTACATTTTGAGCAATGAATTTCTTGCAAACTTCAGTCAGTATACCAAGGTAAGTGATTATTTCGATATTCTCGTAATAGAACATTAAGTAGAAAAAAATTAAGAAGTTGCAAATAAATGAACGAATAAAATAATCTCTTGCGATAGGTCAATATTAAACATAATACGTCTTTATATTAGTATGTATGTGTATATGTCGCGATGATAACCGTATAATAAATACACACATAGAACGATATATACAAATATTCATCGACGGACAAACCGCCGTGTTTCCTTATTATACATATTACACTGTAAAAATATCATTTCACACCATATACTATACATGTGTATCTTTTATATTTGACTGTTCATCTCTCATCCTCCACACTATATTATTCTACCTTCTACCTTTACCTTATTTTTTACTTTTGCTTTTTATTCTATAACATACATTTTCTCTAGGTGGTACTTTAGAGATGTCATTATTTGAAATTCTCATAAATATTAAAGATTATGAGGAAAACCTCAATCTTTTATAAAAAATCATTGTTGTCACTTTGTTTTAGTCATTTTACCATAATATGACGTAATACTATATATTATATTGTTGACAAAGCAACATTATCAACTGAACTTGGCTCAGACTCGTTATCAATGGTTTATTGTTACTTACAGATATACATTAAATTCCTGTCTGTAGCCCACCTTTCCCACTTCCCACCTACAACAGTAGCTACATCCACGTGCGAAGTATTCCCGTTCTTTATAATCTTTCAATTTAATTTAATAATAAATAATAATTAAATTTCAAAATTTTAAAAAAATTACCTCTCTAACGTACCAACCAGAGAACAAATTTCTTTCAGAAAAAGTGCTATACTTGATAATCGTAGAGAGTCTTCTAGTAAAAAAAGTGTTCACATAAAAAAAAAAAAAAATTGTAAAACCAATACATCCCTTGCTATACTCAGCATCTAAAATAATAAAATAATTATTTTCGTTAATTTTTCCGTTTTTGATAAATTAAAAACTAGCGTATACCAATAATAAATTCAGGGCCACTGTATATAAATATATTATCAGTTTGTTATGCAATTTGATAAACATTAGGTAAGTAAGTAGTTTAGGGGATAATATAATAATATAGTATAGTATTATCTTCCAAGTCCAGATGGTTTTTTTTTTTTTAAGAAATCATCGACGAATTGAGAAAATGATTTCCTATTTTAGTTCAAGACAATAAATCAGAATTTGATACTATTTAAAACAAGAAATAAAAGCAAGTAAAAACCGTTGAAGTATAATAAAACATATTTTTTTTATTCTTAGAAGAATACAAAATACCATCATTGTTTTACTTTAATTGTATTGTTTATAGAACAAAATATGTTTAAAGTTTTTAATAAGTACCTACTATGATACTTGCGTATCTACTACAATGTAGGTCTTTATAATAATATCCACGGGCATAATAATTCGTTTCTATTATAGTAGACCTAATTTAATTACTTGATAGCTTATACAAACAATAAATTCACGTTTCTTATAAATACTATATAGTAAAAATATTAAAATTTAATTTAATTTTCAGAAAAATGTAGTGCACTCGATGTTTAATAGAAATAATTATATAATAGAATCGAATCAATAATTATAACAGAGTATGCGAATTAATATACTTTCATAATGATTAGATTTGCCCATGCAAATTCCAAATGCTATTATCTTTAAAAGTTCAATTATTTGCATTTTTGATAATACGAGTACATTTACGTGTTTTGAAAAAGTTTTAAAATTTCAAGTTATTCTACATCAAGTAAATAGTTCCTACTTAATTGTCTGTCGTCCACATAGTTGACCAAGATGACTCAACTACATGTTTAATAAAAGATGCAAGTCTTCAGACTTCAAGACTCGCAGAAGGCAGATCTGGAAACAAGTGTGTATAGGTTTTTTTTCTCAACATAATATTTCATTTGAGTATAATAGTTAAATGCCATACAAACACGTAGCATACCTAAATAATGATAATATTATGTACATTTTTATAAGTAAAGATAAAGAAAACAACCCATTATATTGTTGAGATTAAATATTAACGATGAACGTACTATAATAATAATGTCAGTAAGTACCTATTTATGAAATCAAAATGAAAATCGTTGTGCCAAACCTAGAGCCAAACCTAACATTTTGCTAATCTTTTACTGCAAATAAAAAGAAGAAAAATTGTTTTCATTCTAAATTCTATTGTATTTATTGTACAATTGGCATAGGAATATGTGGGTTTTTAATTGTCAAAACTGTCAATATTACATAATTATTGTTTTTCGTTAGCAATGGTTTGTTTTGTTGCGTACATTTTTTCCATTCAAACATGATCTTAGAAATATAAATCTGTGCGTGAGTATAAGTCTGTCTCTCATTCACAAAATGGATAAGTACTATGCGCATGTCATATTCATTCTTATGTTATCTATGGGGAAATTTTCAAAACTTTTCATTTAAACAGCCTTGAAACTTTTCAAATTTTATAATTTTCCAGTTCAAGTTTTAGTTGACAAATTTTGAAAATGTTGAACTTCAAATCAAGCAGAGTACGCAAAGAAATAATGTTACATCTACCCATCCACCAACAAAATTTCAAAATCATAAAAAGAAAACAACTTGTTCAAAAGTAATTTAATAACACATTTTTAACACTTTGAATTGTTTAACAACTCCATCATAGTTAAATTCAGTTTTAAGATGTTGTTTCACAAATGTCATGAACATTAAGTCCAGTGTTTCTTGTACCATATTACTCTTTAAATTATGTCTTAACAATATTTACTGACCTATAGGTACTTAATCCTTTTATTTTTATTCAGTCACAATTTTATTTTCTATAATTTTGTTTTTATGTGAAACAATATATTGTAATTTATCTATAGTAATTTATGTATTTCTATAAACATAATACATAATAATATAATATATAATTATAATAAACACAATAATAATATAGTTTTAAAGTATAATATTTTAAAGTAGTAATAATATTTCCATTTATGAATCTAAGATCACAAAATAACTTCAAAATACTTATTATTTTATATTCCTTATAAGAAAACAAAATAAACTTATAATAGTATGATATACCTACAATATATGATACGAGTATAATATTATATTTGGCTTATTTTTTTAGCTATGTCTTAGATTACGAAAGAACCTATAATATAATATTGATTTTACGATATTGTGATATTATTGCTTTGTTTCAAAATACGTTGCATGCAGTAATACTGTTTCCAATTCAATCGTATGAAACTGCACTCTACGTAGTAGTACTTATGTGACATCGTAGATTATTGACGGTTATAACCTAGAAATGTCTAAAATACAAAAATTCAAGTGTAGTTATAGGGAGTCGACATACAATGTCTTAATTAAATTCAATAGGTAGATATAAATATTGAAATAATCTATGCCTACAGGATATTATTGTTGTTTACGTATAATTTGTTTTAGAAAATATCGAAAATGATAAGGTACCTGGGACCTATTATTGTATGAAATATACGTATATTTTTTTTTACTGTACATTTTCAATCTTACACAGAAAATAAAAAATGTCCATGATATATAATAATATTATGCGCATACACTTGTTCTTTGAATTTAATGCATAGCTGTATCAGAATTCATTTTGAACTGAGATTTATTTACGGCAAAATTATTCTTCGTTTTGTGTCACATTTTGAATACACAAGTGAAATAGCGATTGCTTAGTTTACTTTATTGTTTTACGGAGTCATAATGTAGTTCTAACGAATTTATGTACATAAATATCAAAATATCAAAAATATGGTATTAATATTATTTATTATGTATATGTCTAAATTATTGTTTATAGGATGGCTTATATTTGAAGAAGAAGCAATATTATTGCGAAGGTTTAGGTCTTATCTGTGTAAGAAAATAGAATAAATATTAATATTATTATATTTTTTACCGAGGTGGGTAAATTAAATGGAGACATGAATATGCGATTTTTATAAATGTCCATTCTCCTTATATAATAAAGACTGCATCCGAGTTTCGTCCTAATAAATAACCTATTTTTATACTACTTCCCTCTCGATTAAAAATATTTTTATCAATGTTAAAATGCATAAATGTTAAATACAAAAAATTCAAAGGTAACATATACTTCCACAAATAAAAATGTGTTATTGGTTTAAATTTAAATAATAAAAAGAAAATTATAATTTATATAGACATTTTTTTATCAATGTTAAAATAGAGAAAAAAATTTAAATAATATTAAAGTGTTAATATATACAAATTTGATTATTTAGTGCGATAGCTGAAAGCAATATTATATTTAATTTTAAATAATATAAAGTTGTAGCCGTAGCATTCGTAAATTGTGAATAAAATAATAAAGTATAGAAAATGTAAAATGGGACGGAAATCCTGTGACTTAATAAATTACATGGGACGGAACTCGTATAAATAAATAAATAATACGGGACGGAATTAGTATATTAATTTTAAAAACACTGGACGGAACTTGGATACAACCATAATATATACAGAGTGTCCTACAAAGATCTGACAAATGCAATGAATTTGGTTCTGTTTAATATTTCTAAATTTTGTAATTAATTTTTTCGTCAAAATAATTACTAGAGCATCGTGTTATGGTTATTATATTTTATGTATAACTTTTTTTTTTTTACAAAAACTAACCAAAATAACTATCTTATACATATTATTTTAAATTCTCAATGAACAGAGCAACGTTTATAGCATTCGTAGACCTGGAGAAGGCCTTTTATAAGGTATATTGGAAACTCTTATTTAGTACTCTAAAAGAAACATGACTAGATTGGAAAGACAGACGTTTAATATTGAATTTGTATAAATTACACAACACGGAAATAGAAGTAAATAGAAGCAGGAAAGAAGAAAAAATTCGTCAAAGAGTAACACAAGGTTGCCCTTTGTTTCTATATTGGTATAATTTGTTTATTGAACATGCACTAAATGAAATAAAAGACCACTCTAAAAGAATATCGATGAACGGGTACAAGATTCACTTTCTCCACTTTTAAGATGACAAAGCTTTTCTAGTTGATAGAGAGAATGAATTGAGTTTGATACTTCATTTATCGACTTGTTTCTATATAAGTTTAAACTAAGAATGAACTCCAAAAACAATAGTTATGGCTATTAATAAAGTAATAACAATTGCAAACATAACGATCAACAATGAACAGATTCAACAAGTGATCGAATTCTACTATTTAGGAAGCCTGATAATAGATGACAATAAATCTGCAAGAGAAATAAGAAAACGAATTACACTAGCAAAATAAGATTTAAAGAAAAAACGAGAAAAAAACCATTTTCACAAATTAATATTTGAGTATAATTTCAAGAAAGAAATTCATAAAAACTTATATTTGGAATATTTAACTATATAGTTATGAAACGTGGACGATAGGAATGTATAAAAAAAATAGACTGGAGTCAATGGATATATGGATGTGGGGGAAAATGACAGAAACAATCTGGATACAACATAAGACGAATGAAGCAGTGTTGGACTAGGTTAATGAGAGAAAAACAATGATGAACACAACAATGAAAATAAAAATAAAACTAATTGGATATCTGTTAAGCTATAATGAATTCCTCACCATAATCATAAAAGGGAAAATAAATGGTAAAAGACCTAGAGGAAGACGCAGAAATCTTTCTTTGAAAAAATCTTCCGTTGGATGGGTTTTACGTCTTACCAACAACTTAAGAGGATAGTATGTGACACTGTCACAAACATAAATGCCGAATACGACAAGGCTTGGCCTATAGAAGCTGATGATGATGAATGTTTTTACATTCAACAAAAAAAATATTATTTTATAGATATTGGACAGATCGTTTCCAATGTATAACATACGAATGGAAAATTGACACCAGATAAACTTTTCATTCAATAAATTTTTTATTTTATCTATATTATTATCCATTTGATAGTATAATTTTGTAATATCTATTGTTCAACTGATAATGGGTAAGCTACTGATTATTGTAGCTATACCGGCTAAATCTATGACTATGGTAACTATACAAATCATTAGAGGTTTAAGGTCAACGCTATAGTATTAAAATAATAATACTATTAGATATACCACGGCATTTTCATGATTGAAAACTCTCTAGTTTTGTTTAGATAATCTCTCGTATTTTGTTTATTTTTTAGTGTAATATTCCATCGTTTTTCTGCTATGAAGCAAAGTTAAATAGTGAAAAAATAAGCAAGTTTGAGAAATTACATGCAATTTTGTAAAGTATGGTTCATGATTTTGCGACTTAACATTTTGCGTAAATAAAGTATAAGTATATAATATATATTGTTTATGTAAAATATTTTATAAAGAGTACTACTTACTATAGATTCTACAAATATTTGTTTTAAAAAATATTTTTATTTATATTAAGGTATGGGTATTTTAGTTCAACTTAATTTCTCTAAATTTTAACCATTAATAATTTATTAAGGAATTAAAATATATAAAAAAATTACATTCGTAGGATCCATAGTAAATACTTTTCTTTAAAAGATACTGTATAATAAGTCTCTTTGCTCTAAGCTAAATTAGTGAATTACAGTCATGTAAATGCGGAATGCCTTTGTCATTTATGCGTAAGAGACACACAGAGAAAATTAATATTAGTGGCGAGGTCTGTAAGGACGGAAGCTACAAATAATATGTTGCCCTTTTGGCACCTGTAAAAGCTAGGGATCAATATCGGTGTTCTAAGCAAAGCACACCAAGGCCGTTGGCTTACGATGAATCGGATATGCTAAATATTACGGGAAAGAAAAAAAATTAATTTATCGAACAATTAAAGCTAAATATAAGTAAAATATAGCTAATATAGTAAACACGGATAATACATAATTTAAGCTAAATAGCTATTAATAACGAAATATATTAAATAGCGTCATAAAAAACAATAATAATAAACAGTAGTAATATTTAACCATTAATTAGTATAATAGAAATATGGTAGGTATAAATTAATTCGAAAAGGATATTATAAATATCCACCTTATAAACAATAATATATGTTGTATGCAGCCGGCCGGCGATTATAGAAATAATATAAGAGTACAAATAATAATAAACAATCACAATGAGTCGTCACTCTGCGCTATAATAATTAAAACTATAAGTAAACTGACTTGCGTACGCGTAGGTATACGTTAGATAAAACTAAACTTCAACTATCCGACTCGCGCGAAGGTAATGCACATTAAATATTAATAAAAATAAATAATATATAGAAAACACGTTTAGATAAAATTATATTTCTATTTGCGAGCCCCCGTGCTCTTGAAATAAACAGAAAAACAAAAAAAATAAAGGATCATCATATCTAAAAAAACGCATACCAAAACTATTACTGCTAAGCCCTCGTGTTCACTACAGTTTAACAATAAAAAAAACTATAACATAAGTACCTGTTAATATATATAAATATGATAAATTATTAGTTATATGGCTGGATGGCGATGGACCAGGTATCCGTTCACAATGGCATTCGCAAATAAAAGTTAATACAAAATAATAAACAAAATATTTTGTGCAATGATAATAAACCAAACGGATATGTCGGCATGCCACAAAATATACGGCAAAACGAAGACTAAAAACGAATTTGCATAAACAGTGTAATCGTGGCGGTGCCAACGACCGAGATAAGAACGAGATAGGAGACGCGGTGACTAGTGGTTCACTCGCCTCGGATTGTCGTTGTAGGAAACGTGGGACGTCAAAGTCCAAAGCCCGCGTATTGCACGAACAAGGCCCTTTAACTATAAAATACATTTCATACTCGTAATTCAAAGTACAAACTATATAATCTTATACTCACCTACTGTGAAAATTTTAGTACAATTATATTTACATATCATATATACGCATTCGACCAAAAATGTTAACGAGGAAGCTATCGGTTTTACAATGTTGTTTATTTGTTTTTCTTTTTTCTTTAACTGTTCTAGTCTGTGAACATGTATCGGAAACTCTCTAGGTTTTGCGTATAGTTTATACTTTTTCTAATGGAGGTCTTGTAATAGTTGTCAAAATATATGCATTTCAATTTTTTTTTTTTTTATGTATAAATTGAAATTTATTATGTATATATTTTGAAAGATACTATCACTTAATAAAAAATTATTTATGTAATAAGTATTCATACAATTTACAGTGAACTCATGGGGACTTACAAATATAAACATGCATATAAATAATAAAACGGTTATAATAAACATACCCTATTCGGTCTGTTCTAGTTCGATCCGGTCCAGTTTTAGATTCCGTGCGTAGCGAAGGATCTTTCGGTTTTACCAAGATGTTTATTTTGGTTTTTTTGTTCATTGTTCTTTGTATTAGACTGTGGACACATTTTTTCCTAGTAAACTTGTTCCGATTTTGAC